GTCGTGCCGCGTGTCTCGCTCACTTGTCCGTCCGTCGTGCCGCGTGTCTCGCTCACTCGTCCGTCCGTCGTGCCGCGTGTCTCACTCACTCGTCCGTCCGTCGTGCCACGCGCTCACTCGTCCGTCCATCATGCCGCATGTCTCTCGCTCGCTCACCTGTCCGTCCATCGTGCCGCGCGCTCGCCATCCGATGCCTGCTGTCATGTGCCAATATTCTTGTTAATAAAATTCCTTCCCCCCCCCATAACATCAGCATTGCGTGTAAATAAGTAACCTCGTAACCTCAATCGTACTTTCACAAAAACATTTCATCCGGAGAATATTAATACTTCGTGTACATTCGTGGTGTATTACGCTAATTAAAAGCATTACTACTAGTTGTGCGTGGTGTTACACGTGCTGTGTGCTGTACTTTCTCACAGTAGTTCATAGTGCGTCTCATACTTCGGTCTTGCGTAATGTTTGCAGCGATGACCGCGTGCTGAGTGGTGTTTTCATGAAGCTGCCAAGCAGGAAGGAGCTGCCAGACTACTACGACGTCATCAAGAAACCCGTCGACTTTGCAAAAATCAAGGTATTTACGTGGCGTCGGTGCATGCGAGTCTGCGTGAGTGTGTGGCACACAGTATACAGTGTTCTACTGAATCGCGTACTTCTGTTCGTTAATAATTGATTCGTGAGTGGCACAGCACTCTTAAATAAACATTTAGTAATAACGTGTGAGATCAAAGTGGTAAAGTAAACTTGGAACAATATAATTTTGCAATCGTAGTGTGGTGCTTTGTGAGTTGCAGAACTCGTCTTTCTTGATGTTAGTTAGGTGTTATGTCTGTTCATAGCCCACGGGACCCCTCTGGTCAAAAACATTCATTTCTACCCCTTCAAAAGACCTGTCCACCTGACATGATTGATGTACGTCTCTAACCACTCAGCATTACCATGATTCATTCTAAAAAAAATGCCCGGCAACGGAATGTTGCAAAGCCGACATTTTGTCATGCGCCACATATAAGGCAGTCGAGCTTCGAGCAATCGATCAACAGTGTCGTGGTGTCGGGGTGGACAGGTCAGTGACTGTAGGGTTGTGTGATTTCAGGTTCAGATTCTTTATTTACCACATAACTTAGCTACAATACAGCAGGTGTATGTTAGGTATAACGTGAGAGTATAAAGAAAAATGAATAGTGAACCTACTAACAAATAGGTGATGTGAGGGTCAAAGTAGCACTAAGCTTTCGAGTCGACCCCCACATGATTGCGATCGGTCGTGACGTGTTCTGACTTGTGCGTGCGCGTGACTGCAGGCGCGCATCCGGGAGCATCGTTACCGCATCATTGACGAGCTGGAAAGCGACGTGATGCAGCTGTGTCGCAATGCGCAGACGTACAACGTCGACGGATCAATGGTACGTACGCTAGCGTTCGCTCGAATTAGTCGCTTAGCTAATCTATTATTAAGTTATAATTAGTTAAATTATTAATTATTTAATTAGTTAAATACTCGAATAATATTAATTAGTTAATAGTTGCTAATGGTTTATTTATTCATTGCCGTGCGTGTATTATTATGCATTTCTAAATTGGCTAATGAGTGCAGCACTAATGATGCAAGCTGTGACAATTAAAAGCAGCTGCTATCTTTAAGTTTTACTAATGATTATAGCCTTCATTGTACTATGGATTGTTATAGGTTGCGATGCTGAAATAATACCAGATTCTCGCTAATGAGCGAGTCCCGCTAAGTTGAGATTTTAATTATTATTCCTTAGATTGTGCTAATTAACTGTGCATGTTGATACCTGTGTGCGTGTTTGTGTGTGGGTGGGTAGTAGGTACAGTTGGGCGGTCTGAATATCTAGTGAGAGAGATTTTAGGTTGCGTCTTCACACTCTATTCTTCCGTCTAAAGTTTTTGTTTACTGTGTGAAATGTGGAAATTTATTGTAGTTTTCTTACAAGATATTTTAAAGACGGCTTTTATTAGACAATTGCTGATAAATAATTAGAGTTGGAATATACCTTGACTCTTCCATGTGACGGAATCGAGGTAAGCAGGGTCAAGGTTATGTTAGAGAAATGATAGTCTACAGGCTTCACTTGTCCTGTTTTAAGATTCACAAGCTAGTGCTGATAGTGCTAGAAAGTGCAGAAATTTGTTTAAAGTGCCATAGACCAGTTGTTTCAAAGTACTGTAAACTAGTACTATTAAGTAGTACGTGAGTCTATTATGAAATTGGTACAAAATGCAACATTCCAAAGATTCTGCTTGATGTAATCGTACTTTGTATAATTATAGATTCTAGTGTAGAGGTGATTGATTCACATGAACCACCTTCGCAACCACCTTGACTCATAAATTATAACATTCGGTAGATTTAAAAACTATTCATACACTCGCCTTATTATACTGGTTTGAGAGAATAGCTGGCGAAACAGTTCAATCAGGTGACGGTGCTGGCATAAATTGTTACACCATGAGTGACTGTCTCGACAATGTTTTTTGATGTTTTTCATAGTTCCGTGCTGGATATACAGCTGAACAGGTAAATGCGAGCCAGGTTTTAGCGTTTTCATTTGTCAATGAGTTAGTGTATACATACCTCCTGTAACACGCATGCACGCACAGACGCGCGCTCACACACACACACACACACACACACACACACACACACACACACACACACGCACATACCACGAACGTCACACACACACATATGTAGTTGTATTGCAACGCATAACCATGCGTACCACTCGGTTAGAACGTAAAAATTGAGTGGTTGTGCGTGTTGCCAGCCACTGAACAACTGCATAAACTTTAGCAGTTGCAGTTCTTATCGAGCGAGAGCAATGCTGTCACAGACAAATCGCGGTGACTGTCACGCAATGCTGACATTGGTATTGCTGCTGTGTCACCCAGGCCCATCGTGAGATTACTGTGGTGTGATGTGGTAATACCATGATGGTACTAAGCAATCTTGTAGACAGTCGCTGTAATTGTACAGTACTGTAATTGCGTACTGTAATTGTAATAGTACATACGACAAACATCCACTTAGAAGGCAACTGCATTAATGGGATGCAGGTAGTAGTAGTGGTGCTTACTATATTATCATCACAATTATTTTTGGCAATACATTTGATGCTTCAATAAATAGGCATCCATATTGAAGTTGTAATTTTAGCAATAAGGCATCTGCTGGCCAGTAACGTGCTTACGTAAACATACAAATAAATACATGAGGCAGTGGTGATGTTACTTCTTCTTACAACTGACGAGCAACAAAATTCGATAAGCCAGAAGCAATGGCGCACTGTACAAATGTCCGTATCTATAAATGTATGCCTGGCACTGATCGTCTGCCGTAAAAAAAAACAATTATGTTTCCATGTTAACAACATTCTGATACAACAAAACAATTACACATTTGGTAGACACTAGTTGGCATTACATTGGCAAGAGCGAGATCTGGTTCCAGTGTTCAGACTGTCATTGAGAGATAGAGTAGAATTGCTTGTTTGCCTGCTGTTATTTGGAATGTTTTACTACCTGCTCCTCATCGGTTGCTGTACTGTGGTGCGCTACACCATCGGTACACACTGGTTCCTGCCGAACCACGCAATTTGGTATCACGTTAGGGCGCAGTATTGCCAGCATGCATCGGTGACTGGCGGTAATTTTCTGTGATGGAAATCCGTTTAGTGTGATATATGGTTTGGTTGCTGGTTAGATTTCAGGTATGGCCTATGGCACTCTAAGCTTTTTTGTGCACTCGTCACGATTATTTGTCCCGCTTCGTTGATTTGCTTCGTCGAGGTTGTGCGTTTCTATCGCTATAATGTTGATCATGTGCTCCCAACACATTTTCATGTTGCCTTATATGTATCACTTAGCTGTGCCCTTGCGTCTCGTCTTGCACTTCCTGTTGTCGTATGTGTGTATGTGGTGACGTCAACTGCAAGCATGGTATAAATTATCACGAAAATTTAATAGATGATGATATAGCTTGGCGTAACTTTGCTATATGCACTTCGCAAGTTCCAAACCACGTTCACAAACTTTCTGCTGGCATTTGCTGTAAATTGCCTTTATACGGGTAATTTTATCAGACAGTGTATAGATTGAGAAAAACACCCCGGCTGCTGACCACACACGGTTCGGCTAACCTTGTGAGATTTGGCCTGCAGTCAGCTAACGTCTACATTTCTAGGAGAGTGGACCGTTAATCGAACCCCTCCTTAATTGAAGTCAGACAATCGCACTCGCGCACCAACGTAACGAAGAGTCGCCTCATTGCAGATCTACGAGGATTCGATCGTGCTCCAGTCGGTGTTCACGAACGCGCGAGAGAGGCTGGAGAAGGACGGAGACCTTCCCTCGCCGTTCGCGGAGGAGATGAGCGACGACGACGACGGCACGCGGCTCGACGACGACGACGATGACGACGACGACAATGATGACGACGATGACGACGATGACGATGATGACGACGACGCCGCGGTGAAGGCCAAGCAGAAGGCGGCGAGGGAGAAAAAGGCAGGTTGGAAATGCTGTATGCTATCAATGGATTATGCCTCTTTGCATTGACTAATAATCGACGTGTCGGCCTGCAGTGAATTACAGGCACCTCTGCCAATCGGTGTTTCGATGGGACATTCTAAAAACAGTGTTTAGTAACGAAGTGCCGCATAGTCGACATTTTCGTGTTCACCGCATACATACTGGGTTACTATTGGACTCATCATTCAAAAATGGATAATAGGCACGTAATCCTAAGGCATGCTTTTTATCCTGAAAAATGTACCTGAAAATCGCCCATGTATCCTATCGACAGAAGGTCGAAAAAATTTCTCCAAACAATTAACATACCCTGCTGATAATAGGGTGTGTCTTCACACCTGCAGCATCTTACAAATTAATGTAAGACTGTACTGAAGGTACGGTAGTTGCTATACGGAATTGCATTTATATTCAACACGGTTATATTTATATTTATATTTATATTTATATTTCAATGCTGTTGCTGAGTGCGTGCATACGTTACTTACAGGAGAAGTCGTCCAAGAAGAAGAAGAAGGCGAAAATTATCAGCGACGACGAGGAAGATGAAGAGGATGAAGAAGATTAATGTGGCGGCTTCGTGTAGGCAATTACGGATGTAGCCTCCCCGCCCTTACCACCCCGGAGCCGGAGGATTGCAGGTGTTTTCCGGAATGCGCTGCAGAGAAGTCCTTGCCGTGTACGTATGCGCACTGAGGCACTGCAATATCTGTCAGACATTTATCGGTGAGACAAATGTCAGGTTGACAAGTGTTACCTGAAAGGGTGGAGAGGCTGTTATTTACATTGCGCATGTGTGCGCGTGTGGGTGGTTGTGGCGCCACAGAAATGTATGCGTTATGTTAATAATGCGGGCTGTATTCAAGTGTATCTGTTATCATCGAATAATCCCTACCACCATGTATAATTTCCCTATCAGAATTCATCATGTTGCGTGTGTGCGTGCTATAGTGACGTGTCTGTGTTCAGCTATCGATATTTATTCTTCGTATTAGGAGTTATATGATGTACTATTTTACTCCCGTTCACATTAACGCTAGGCGTCTCTGCACCCAGTGTTATCTCTTGCTTGGTATCATTGCAAAGCTGTGGCTTTCGCGCTGGTCTTGGTGTGTTTGCACGTGATGACGTAATAATCATGGCGTGGTCAACGTTTGGACGTTGTCTGCTAGGGAGTTGTGGTGCTGTTTCATGCTTGGCATTCACTAGAAGGTGAAAGTGAGTGTGGTGTGCCATATTGTGTGGATAGCAGGTCACCAAGTCAAATTGTCACGATTCCTTGTGTATGCGGTTCTTTAGCATATACGAGCAGGCTGTTATAAGTGTGCTAGTTGGCCTCGCACTTGCACGGTGTACATTTATCCTTTTAGTCAGTATTCTAATGGTTGTAGCAGGCAGTATGAATGCAATGGGCACATGGGAATGGTTATCTCCCCGAACGGCAAAGCTATATCTAAACCAGTATGTTCTGATGTTCCTCTGCTCTTAGTACTACACTAAGTGAGATGTGATACATGGTTTATGTGTATGTCACATAGGTTACACCGACTGCACAAATTCTATCCTCGCTGTAGTGATTATTAAGCACTATAGATGAATTTATGTCGTTATTAACGATAGTTTGGCAATAAGTGCCAATGTAGTAATCCCACGTACCCGTACATGCTTTGTTTGTTGTAACGGTTGAATTGAACACAATGAATTGGTTCAGGACAACAGTTGTTCCGTAACTACGTATGTTCGTCACCAGCTGTGTGTGTACTTGTGATCCTTTATTTACACCTGTAAAGAATGTGCCACTCCAAAATGATCCAGTTGAAGAAAAAGTCTGCATACAATCGGAGTAATTTGGTCTTACAAGAGGAAATTGTTTTAATCTCGAATTGCAACCAGCAACAACAACAGGATATTGGAATTTTCGATAATTTGAATGATCCCTTCAGGTTGTAATCAATTGATCTTTTTTTATGGATTTAGTTGGATTTTGACAAAAAATGAAATATATAACTGTAATTTATTTGACTAACTTCAATAAATCAGATGGCACCTGATATTTTGTCAAGTAATTTGTTTGTACTGGCTACGTGTATGTGTGCCTGCGTGCGTGCGTGCGTTCGTGCGTGCGTAGTAGGTAAGTGGGTAAATAGGTTAGCATGTGTATTTATTTTGCTCATGATATTATGTATGATGGAAATTGTAATAATTCATCAAAAGTCCCTTAAATTATTTGAGGCCCCACAAAACAAGTTTTTGAAACCTTTGAGGACCACCATTCCGCCGTGAAGGGCATTATAATGTATTATAAGGGTATTATATGGATTATAAGGATATTATTAATGTCAAGTTAAGTCAATAGGTCGTAAGGCATTAGTACTGAGCAATGTAAGTCCCAAAATTAAATCCCAAAATCACGAGTCGAACATGTGTACTCGGTTCATGGAGCACGTGCATGTGAACAAAATATCAACAATCCTTCCCTAGAAAATACCAATCAGTTCTGCTAAATGCTAAATATGAAGCGCAATTCGTGAGGGGTGGTCGCATGGGAATAGGAGGGACATTACCCCCTCCCCCCCAACACATGCAAGGACGAGTGCAATCGCTCTCGATTCGATCAGCTCGTTGCCGCCTGAAAGCCGCTCCTTAATCTCAGTCCTGCGCCAGTCCGTGATGCCCTATTCCATTCTCTACCGTCATATGATGCTCCGTGTCACTGCGTACCGTCGGTTGCGTGCAGTTGTGTCCCGTTCCGTGATGCCCTGTGTCGCTAGGGGGTGAGCCGTACGTGAAGCAGTAGATGTTGAAATAGCCACATATCTGTTGGGCGACGCAGTAGAAGTAGTGTAGCAAGTCGAACAGGCAGTAGAGCTGCAAATCAGGGTTTATACTCTAGTAAGCTCTAGTAAGGTTTGCCGACTGCACATATTACTGTTGTAGCCTCGTACTTCTAGGGGGGGCGCCGAAGGGCGGTAAGAGTAAAGCGTAGCAGCAGCGTAAGATAAGAAGTAAACACGAACTAGTAAAGTAACGTACCACAAACAGTTGTATTCGACATAATGCAACAGTGAGTTGAACAGAGAGCAGATACGTAAGGCTGAATGCGTACAAATACACGTCAGTGACAGTCAAACAAATGGAGAGGAAGTGCCTCCTGCTCCTTGTCGCGGCGCTCTTAAATGTACCCGAACTTGTTGTTCGACCTCCCTGGTCACGACGTACGCCGGCTGCGGTTGATAACAGATTATCCCGCACTCCGACCCCTCTGTTCAACGTCGTTAGCCACCTTATTGCTTCTCCTATTACCTTCAGCCTGCATCGCGTGCGCACCGAATATCTCATCTATTCCCCCCTGGCTTGTCACCAACGCGACCCGCATGGCCTTATGCCAAACTAACAGTAATTAATAAGCTATGGTGAAACTAGCTCCGTTACACTGTCACGCTCCTGTAAGCTGTCTATTGGGCGCCAGACGTACCTGAAAACTATAAAGCGACCCGCAGAGATGCATGCTGTCAATTGAAGTAAATTTATTGGTGAAATAGGCGATGAAATCATGAGGGGGGCGTTTCGTACCAAGAACAGCCACAGCACCCGACGTTCGCTGATGGGCGAGCTAGCAAGCTGGTTCAGGAGGAGCAACGCGGGCCCGAACAGCGACGAATCCCACATCGACAGCTCACTCTTTGCCATGTGCGCCACCTGGTGGGTGGAACGAGAAGAACGAAAACCACGCCGCATAAACACGTAACAATGAACGGAGGGAGTACGACGAGTAGGAGGAGACCGAGTCATAATACTATAAGGAAACCCGATCAAACCGGAGATAAATTTCGCAGCTAAACAAGAACCGCGGTAAACAGAACCTTTCCTCGGCATAATCTTACCCGGGTGAAAACACGAAGAATCGCCAATCAAGACGTAACATTTTAACTTATGTCGTCAGTAAAATTAATAACGCTTAAATTTCGCATAAAAGCTTGACTGTATTCTTAATGAAGCTAATTCTCATTAATTAAACACGATGAGCATCCGTAGACCTTAATTAATGATTATTTAAATTAATTAATAAAACCAATGATTGCTTCTAATGAGGCTAAGTCTAATTAATGAGCGCAATGGTACGTCCGTAGACGGTAATGCTTACCACGAGTCGGTTGCACATCTTGGCAGATACGAGGCCGAACGCGATGAGATACAGACACGGATAATTCTCAAACAGGCCGCTAGGTGATCTCACGTGGATGAGGTAGGCAGGAATGATCACCGTCATGATCGGTAGGACGGGGAACAGCCACTGGAAACAGCACACTCTTACCCTGAATACACAGAGAGTAAGTTAGAATCTCCGTCCGTGAAGCACTCGAGGGTATTTATATGCATTAGATGTATAGTCGTAAAATTACACGTAATGTAGGCCTACTCAAGAACCAATGGGAACAGTGATCTATAGCTTTGTCTATAGGTCTAGTCTGTTGACTGACTGCATTGAAAACAGCGAGCGTGTGGGAGAGCAAGAAAAAAAGTGAGCGCCCGAGAGAGAAGGAGAGAGCGAGAGAGAGAGAGAGAGAGAGAGAGAGAGAGAGAGAGAGAGAGAGAGAGAGAGAGAGAGAGAGAAAAGAGCAGGGGTGTTGAAGAAAGAGAATTAGCGCGGGAGTGAAGCGAGCTAGCAAGAGAAGGACAATAATGAGAGAGAACAGAGCGCGAATGTACGAGAACAAATGAGAGGATGTGAGAGCGCGGTTTGAAAATGATTGGGGAGAGGCTCACTGAAAACAACCTCCACGTACTTACAGCAACCGTTGGTTTCCTCCTTTCCGACTCTTTCCGCTAATATCACCTTGATTCGTCCATGTGTGATGATGGCTCCTCGGCGAAACACCAACCCGACGCACCACACCACAGTGGCAACTCGATGACGGGCAGCTATACCCTACCGTAAGACTAATTAACATAAAATCAGCAGCGTTATAATATGGAGATCTCTATAATTATTATATGTCTCTATAATTCTCTCTCTCTCTCTCTCTCTCTCTCTCTCTCTCTCTCTCTCTCTCTCTCTCTCTCTCTCTCTCTCTCTCTCTCTCTCTCTCTCTCTCTCTCTCTCTCTCTCTCTCTCTCTCTCTCGCTCTCTCTGTCTCTCTCTATCGATCTATATCTATCTATCTTTCTCCCTCTCTCCCACTCCCCTCTCTCTTTCTTTCTCTACGTACACATCCGCATACGCGCACACCCACACGCACACACGCGCGCGTATATGTGCCCTTACCAATATATAAATAATATTATGCGTTTTATCCTAATGAAAAGTTTACATTTTGTTACCCTTGTCGTACGCACGCGGCAAGCAAACACCAGATGCAGACGATTATACCTGGGTCTTCCACATAGCCGATCCAAATACAGCGGATGCCAAGAACATTCCTATACCGGCCATCTGCAATTCGGCCACGTCAAAACTACAGAAACATGGAGCGAGAACGTTGGTAATATTTAGTAACGCCCATCGATCGTACACGTGCAGCAAACAAACACTAGATTCAGTCGAATACACCTGCGGAATAGACTATAGACTGCAGTTGTACAGACAACGTTGGTACCGTACTAAGAAAAGCGAACCACTGAAAATGATACACGTGCAATCAGCGAAATAGTTTGTGGGAAATAAGGCAGCACGGAAGACTTCGGCAAGGCGTCAGAAGCGCAATATATATGCACAGATAAAGGGGACGGACCGAACTTCGCGCCCTTTCACACAATTCTGGGCTCACAATATAACCCTTTATCACACACAACCCTATTTCTAATCCTACAGCAATCTCTCATCCCACCGGCAAGTGTTAATTGATAGACGCGCACCTCGTTCCTCTTCTGGGGAGAAAACAACCACGAACTCGTGGAAATAGGTGATGCTGTAATGGGTAGGTGTGACTAGCACCTATATTTGCATTAGAACTGTGTCTGCAGACCTAGCTGGTAGGTAGGGAATGTAATATGAACAGTGTCAGTGCAGGTGAGGGAGTTATGCGGATATATAGCTGCTTGTCTACGCTGCTTTCACGTTAACGATTCTTTCCTACCTTTCTTGCCTATCACATCCACTGCAAATTTTCTCAAACGTGAACACACAGCGCTCACATACCGAATAAAGGGCACGATATTAAAAAAACAGACGGGCAGTTAATTTACAGTAAAAAACATGCAGGAATCTCATGATCCGAGTAGAACATAGGGTGAACTTGACACCGGCACGCACAACCTGCCTTCCTACTGTATACATGCGTACTTACAAAACGTTATCGAGCACTCAAATTTTCATGTTGAATAATTGCTGAATGTGCTAAATTGAAATGTGAAATATGAATGAACTCTGAGCGTCTCAAGTCGCGTGTTTCTATGAAAACGTGTATAAATAGCCAAGATGGTCGTTACAATTTCTATATGACTATAGAGAACTTACGATCCAAAGTAGAAGTAGCCGCACACGTATGTGGTCCAATGCGCCAGGTAGAAGATAAAGAAGCTCAACATCACGACAGCGAACATTATCTCTGGCTGCTTACCGAGCTGCAGAGATATGCAGAATTCCAGCATCAGGAACACTGCAAAGTGCAAGAGTAACACCAGCACGCACTGTGACTGCTATTACGTACGTGTTTATATGCGTTACGTTAGTGTTTGTGGGTGGCGTGTGTGTGTGGGAGGGGGGGGGGTACTTGTGTCTTAGGGGAACTATAATAGGGGCTATAGCTGCCGCACGGCTGTTTAGTTAACCAACGTTGCAGAATGGACCTTGGGTATATATATTATATATATATATATATATGTGTGTGTGTGTGCATCTGCGTGTGCGTGTGTTTGTGTGGGTGTGTGTGTGTGTGTGTGTGTGTGTGTGTGTGTGTGTGTGTGTGCGTGTGCGTGTGCGTGTGCGCGTGCGTGTGCGTGTGCATGTACGTGCGCGTGCGCGTGTGAGTGTGCGTGTGCGTGTGCGTTTCGCGTGTGCGTGTGCGTGCGTGTGTGTTTGTGTTTGTGCGTGTGTGTTTTGTTATATATATTGTTTTATTGCATTGCCTATTATTGGTTTTTAGAGAGTGTAATCGGTATGATCAGTAGCTTTAGCAACACGTGGTTCATCCGATACGTGTATACTCATCGTTTTAAAAAACAGGCCTATCTGCTTCAGTGCTAACGACATCATTCTTTGCCAAACTAGGCCCGTGTAGCCCTTAATTCGCTTCCCCACCTTGGCAAAGAGAAATGCTACACGGGTCGAGCTAATGTCAAATCGGACCCCTGATCGGGCAGACTTGGCTATAGCTAGTTAGCCAGGCTAGGACAAAATGTTAGCAGTGTGTACACGCTATCCCGGTCTAAATACGCCCTGGTCTGGATCATACGTTGCACTCCACCCCCAAACTGAGGTGGGCCAGGCGTGCTATAAGGTGTAATAAGTTATAGTTAAGATATTTTATAGATAAGTATCAAATTGTTATGTTTACGCGATCGTGAGGCTAGCAGCATCAGAGGAGTTCCTTCCCCCTCCACCACCACCATGGCCACCCCAACCCTGCTGCCCAAATATTATCAAGAGCTAATAATACTCAGGAGCGAATTGTCAAGGTTTGTCAATATTATCAAGAGCTATATTATAAAGGTATTATTAGCTCTTGATATTATCGGATGCACATCCAGATGCGCCGCTAAACACACCTGCAGACACGGAGTCGCAGCCATGATCGAATAGTTCTGCGACGATCGATGTTAAAGACGTGCCCATGCGGCCATTCTGCTTGCCATCCAGTGTGTCCAGAGTCTGGTAGAGGAACAGCCCCAGAGCGCAGAGCAGCCACACGCACGCTGGTATCTATACACGAATAATACACGAGCGTTTATGGGGCGCCAAGTGTCGCATGACTGATTTCGTTACGAAATCATTGATTATGGTGTCATATATCATCTAATTATTATATATATATATATATATATATATATATATATATATATATAATATATATCGTAATTGTAATTGTAGTTTACACGAATGTTATTTTTTGCAATGTGCCTCAGGTATTTTGGAACGCTTGTCTCGAACATATTCCAAAATGGATCGCGTCACCCGCTATTGTCAATGATGGGCTATGCATAAATATCTTCACCGCATCACTGGTGATCTGCTACAGTCCCAGACGCAAAGAGCGAAGTAAGAACCATTAAAATAACTTTACATATAGGTATTAGATTTTATGAGCTGTTGCAAGCAGTGCATATATACTGTAGGAGAGTGCTGTAGGGGCGTAGTTTGTATGTTATAATTTAGAGTATAAATAATCAAGAAGACGTATAGAATTTGTGTTCACTAAAGAAATATATTGTTTTACAAAACAAACAGCCAAAGTCGCGTCGTCCAGTCTCTCCCCGTCCAACCGTCCCGTTCAAATGACCTGCAGCCCTTATATCTCAACCTCGCATCAAACACGGCCCAGTTCCACTCTACCCCAGCCAATCACACCCACTAACACTCTCTTATTCGAATTATTACGCGCGAAATGCACAATCTGTCCCGCAGATGTGCATACGGCGTCTACTAGTCTGATATTCCCCCAGCCTGAGATAACTATTTCTAATCAAGAGCGTATAAAGAAGGAGAGACGTACACGGTAAAATGCTGAAACCATGCTGCAGTATTAGTCGATTAATAAACTTTTAAATCTCGAGTCGGTTTTCGGCGAATACCAGATTTTCACCGCTCATTATCTCAGCGTAGGGCATCGTAGGACATGCGGTTGTTTTATATGAACAAGGTAAGACAGCTAATCAATGATACTGCAAAGGATCGTCAAAATAAAACGGGAAAAGTTTATTAATTCGACTAATACTGCAGCATGGTTTCAGCATTTTACCGTTGTACGCTCTCCTTCTTTATCTGCTCTTGTTCTAAATCTATAGCTAAACGCCCAACCTTCTCTATGTACAACAATACTATCTACCAATTACTAATTCAATGTAACATCTGTACAACATGTGTAAACCAGATGTTACAAGTGCCACGTAGACGTCGAAATGATGTTATGTTATACGTGGCGCTATTCTAACGTTCTAAAATTAGCACAAAATCAAAAATTCTCAAGAC